AAAAAAAAAAGGTGAAACGAGACAACAACTATAAAAGCGTTTTTATTTTCTTTTCTAGCCAATGACAGTGATTTGTTAATGGAGGAGGGAATGGCGTTCACAATAGGTTAGTAAATGTATTCTATGTTTGTCTTTAAAAAAGCACACACACAACAACCCAGCTCCGTGCCGTTTCTTTGAGCAGAGAAGCATCCCTTCAGAAACGGGGGGATGGCGGTGACACTGGCCTCTGGGAAAGAGATTCAAATGTTATTTCAAAAAATGCATTGAGGGATCAGTTGGGCGACACAGCTGCCGAGTGACACGAATTTGGGAAGGAAAAATCTGATCGTAAATTTTATTAAGCGGCGGACCTGACGCGTCGTTTTGGCAGTGCGGCTGTGGCCGTGTGCAGACAGCAGAGCGCGGCTGTCTGAGGTGCCCCGCTGCCGCCAGAGCTGCGCCGGGCCGGGCCGGCGGCGCGGGGTTCGTGAGAGCCGCCCCACAACGCGAGTGCTGGTGGCGGGGATGGATGCCCCTTCCTCCCGATACGGCAATTAGTGGAATCAGAAAATCGTTGTTTTGCTGATTTAAAGTCTGTATTAAAAAAAAAAAAAAAAAAAAAAAGATATGTTGAACTGCCCGCGTTTGGTGTTCTGATTATTATCACGGAATCTTAATGAAAGCTCGAATAAATTTCCCTGCTGTTATGAAAGCGGAGCGCACCTTCCCCACACCGCAGCGCTGCGTGTCCCCCCCGGTGCGGCCCCGGTGGGGCAGCGCGGTGCGGAGCGCGGGTGGGAGCTGCCGCCGGGCCCCCCCTGCTCGCAGCAGCGCCGCTCACTTCGGGCGTTTTTTTCTTGTTCCAGAGCCAATAATAATGGAGGGTTCTCCCGAATTTAAGATTCTGAAGGACAAATGGACGGCAATTTCGGTAGACAATAAAAGGTGCCCGATTTTGTTGTTTCCCGAGCGGCGAAGCTGAGCGTTGGCAGCCGGTGAGTCTTACGGGCGTGCTGGGGCCGCGCTGCCCCCGCTAACAGCTCGCTGTGCGTTGCAGATCAGCGCAGTTCGAGCACACCGTCGTCATTACCTCGGAGGGAGCAGAAATCCTCTCTAAGGTGCCGGGAGAAGCCTAAGGACGCAGCGGGGAGTGGAGGGCTCGGTGTGTTTTGGGCGTCCTCGGCTCCGCAGGGACAGCGCTGAGCTCCGGGTGGTTGTGGGGGCACTGAGAGGACACGGGACGCGGCTCGGGGGCTCGCTCCGGGCACGGTGCTCTGCGCGGTACCCGCCGAGTGTTGAATAAAAGCCTCTTGGTTTGCGGCAGCAGCGGCTCAGCCTCAGCCCGCCGGGGAAAGGGTCCGGCCGTGGGGGAGTGGGGCAGTTTGCCGCGCGGGACGCGCGGATTCGCGGCGGAGCAGCGCGGGGATCCCCTCGCAGGGAAACTGCGGCCGCTCCGCCCTCAGCGCCCCTGAACGGGGCTGGAACTTCTGCCGGGACGGAAAGAAAAGTTTGCGGGCGTGGCGGGGGGAAGCACAGGCTGCGGCACCTTCCCCTCCGTTCTACAGCAGCTCTCCCTTTCCTGCCCCGGCCCGTTTCTCTCTACGCCGCACAAGAAAGAATTAAAAACGAGAAACGGAGCGCGCTGTTCCGGAGACGGATAACCGCGCCGCGCACGGTGCGTAACGGGGCACTCCGCGCCGGGAGCACTCGGCAGAGACGGAGGGGTTCGGCCCTGGGGGAGGGTTTGCTCTACGCCCCTCGGAATCGGCCCGACGGAGCGGTCGTGCGGCAGCGGTGTCCCGGGCAGAGCTGCTGGGCCGCTGTTGGGGCAGGCCGGGCCGGGACAGGCCGGGCGGGACGGCCGCTGGTTCCCGTTTCCTGAACCGTTTGTTTTCACTAGAGTACAGCGAGCTGTCAGCTCTAATCGCTTCTAACAGCATCTTTTTAAGAAGCAGGACCAGCCCCCAGCCCGTTCCCAATAGCACAGGACAGCCTTTCAGCTCGATTGCCTCTTAGATTATATTGGAAGACCTTAAAACCTGTACAAATAAACGATGCATCCAACACGTTTCACAGTCGCCCAGATTCCGCCGCTTGCTCTTTGCCCGGGAAGGCGAGGGCCGCCGTGCCCGCCTCCCCCGGGGCCGCCGCTGCACCGTCCCGTCCGTCACGTCTGTTCCGTCCCAGTCCGTTCCCACCCCGCCTCCCCCGCAGCGCAGAGCCGCGGCCCCGGCCCGGGCCGTCACTTACCGGGGCCGGGGGGGTCCGCGTGGGGCCGCGCTGCTGCCCCTGGGCACCGGTCCTCAGCGAGGTGGTGGGAATGAACCGTACGCATCGCATGCAAAACAAAACAAAACAAAACAAAACAAAACAAAACAAAAAAAGAGAGAGAGAGAGAGAGAGAGGGGAGGAAGTAAAAGAGGCGTTAGGAAATGGGCAATTAAAACCGACAGAGCGACTAATGAGGAAAAAAAAAAAAAAAAAAAAAAAAAGAACGAAGCGGAGATTGGGTCACGTTCGTGTCAGCTCTGCGAAGCCAGCACCAGCAGAGTCGGGGCTGTGCCACGGGCCCCGCTCCCGCCCGGGCTCCGCGGCCTCGTCGCGACCGTGTGCGGCTGGGAACGGAGCGTTCCTCGGGGCCTCCCTCTGCCCGGCTGGGTCTGACCGCGGGGACCCGGGCCCCGCTCGCTGCGCGCCCCGACGGCCTCGGTGCGCAGGGAGGTTCAGCCGGGCCGGCTCACAGCCCGGTGCTCAGCGCCGGGAGGCCGCGTGTTGCTATTAGCGTTCAATATACGGCTAATTATGCGTATGAAAATTAAACATCAGTGTTATGCTAATGGGGCCGCCTTCAGCTGGGAGCCGAGCACTTGAGACTAGCATTTAATCAAATGAGTCGGTAACGAATACATCTGCACGTGTGAACTTTCGCGGGATCATTTTCCTGTTACAGTCACACCGCTGAATTATGAAAGAAATAATTACCGACACTTTCTAATTATCCAACAAAGTAATTTGGGATTCATCGCGGGCTTTCTGGGGAGGATCTCCCAAGTCCCACCTCGCTCCCTGCTCACGCACGCGGAAGTTTGCGAGCTCAGCTCAAACGCGCGTCGGGCCGAGCGGGACGAGCCGCGTTCCCCCGCGCTGGGCTCCCATCTCAACCCCCCCCCGCGTTAGGAGCGGTGCCCGGGCGGACGCGGCCCGAGGGCGGGCGGGACCCCGGCGGGGAGCGGGCACCGCGCGGCGTGCGCGGCTCTGTCCGCGGCCGGAGCGGCTCCGGAGAGCCTCGGGGCCGACCCCGCGCTTCTCTCCGAGCCGGGGGCGATGCCTCCCGGCCCCGGCCCCGGTCGCGGCGGCTCCCGGCCGTCCAGCGGTGCCGTCGGGGCGTGCGGCCGGGAGGCGCGGCGCTGCCGGCGCGGCTCTCCGCGCTCACCGGGGTCCGGGCGAGCCCCGAGCGGCTCGGACCAATCCAAAGCGATTATGCAAGACGGGGAACCAATCAGCTCCGCCGGCTCATGAATATTCATCGGCTCGGATGAGTCAAAGCTTTTAGGCGAGTTTGTGTAGATGAGCGGCATCACGCTCAGACTTTTCAAAGAGACAAACTCCATTTTCTTATGAATGGAAAGTGAAAACCCTGTTCCGCTTAAATTGGGTTCTTTCCCGTCCTGAGAAACACAACAGACCCCCAAAAGGCACGCTGAAGAGAGAGCACACACACAGACCCAGCGGCGAGAAATGACCATGACCACCATGCCTGAGAGTCTAAACAGCCCCGTCTCGGGGAAGGCCGTCTTTATGGAGTTCGGGCCGCCCGGCCAGCAAATGTCTCCTTCTCCCATGTCCCACGGACACTATTCCATGCACTGTTTACACTCCGCGGGCCACTCGCAGCCCGACAGCGCGTACAGCACAGCTTCGTCCTTCTCCCGACCGCTGGGCTACCCCTATGTGAACTCGGTGAGCAGCCACTCCGGCAACCCCTACATCAGTTCAGTGCAGCCCTACCCCAACAGCTCCGGCCTGGCCCAGCCCCGGCTGGAGGAGACAGGTAGGTGCCGGGGGCGGGGGGCGCGGAGCGAAGCAGATCCGCCGGGGGGGGAGCGAGGCGGCATCGCGGAGCGCTGTGTGTGAGCCGGGCGGGGCCGGGGCCGCGGGGAGCGGGCGCCGAGCGGAGCGGACCCAGCCCAGCTGCGCGCGGAGCGGTCCCCGTCATTATTTATTGCGTAGCGCTATAAACAATGTGCGCAATTAAGGGTAATTAAACCTCGACTGCAGCCGGTAAAAATAGCGAACTTTGCTGGGATGGAGCCGGGGCTGCCACCGCCGCGCGGAGCCTTTGTTGGCGCTGCGGCGCTCCGCCGCCCCGTCGCCGTGAGCGCTGCGCTTGTTACCGTCGCCGTTACTGCTGTTCTCTCGCTGCTATCACTGTTATTTACTGTGCACCGTTTGTGGTTGTAGGGGCCGAATCGGAGAAAAGCACTGTGGTAGAAGGAGGGGAAGTTCGCTTTAATGGGAAAGGGAAAAAAATCCGCAAACCCAGGACTATTTATTCCAGTTTGCAGCTGCAGGCTCTGAACAGGAGGTTCCAGCAAACCCAGTACCTGGCCCTGCCCGAGAGAGCCGAGCTCGCGGCCTCTCTGGGACTCACCCAGACTCAGGTACGGCCCCTACGCGCCCCGCGGCCCCGGGCCCGGTCCGGCGGGGCCGCTCGTTCCGAAGCCACGCGCCCGTCCCGTCCGCGGGGCCGATCCCGGCCGGGCTGCGGGAGGCGGGGGGGGCGAGGTCAGAGGGAGCGGGATACGGCGCGGGGGCGGCCGGGGCGCGGGGGGACCGCGGGGCGAAGGCGGGCGGGGGCCGTCGGGGCGGGCAGCGCGAGAGCGAGGGCCCGGCCGGGCCGCGCTGAGCCGTGCCGCGCTGCCGTTGCAGGTGAAGATCTGGTTCCAGAACAAGCGCTCCAAATTCAAGAAGCTGATGAAGCAGGGAGGGGCGGCCCTGGAGAGCGGCGCTCTGAGCAACGGCCGGGCCCTGTCCGGAGGCTCTCCCCCGGTGCCCGCCGTGTGGAACACCTCCTCCGCCTCCGGGAAGACGTCCTCGGGCAGCGCCGGCACCTACATCCCCAGCTACACGTCGTGGTACCCCTCGGCCCACCAAGAAGCTATGCAGCAGCCGCAGCTTATGTGAGCCCGAGCACGTTTTTCCCCGCCGCGAGCCGAAAAAAAAAAAAATCAAATTATCACGGACAAAAAAAAAAAAAAAAAAAAAAAAAAAAAGGAAAACAAAACAAAACCGAGAGGAGTACGAAGGAGAAGAGGACAAAGGCGCGCCAGCAGCCGGCCTGGCCCTCCCGCTCCGGGCACAGATGCGACACGGCGCGTCCCCGCCGGCGGCAGCTGACGGAACGCGGCCGGGGGACAATCGGGGCCGCCCCTCTGTCTGTGTTGTGTGGGATCTGGGTCACGGATGCGGCCCGGCGGTGCGGGGCAGCGGGCGTACCGCGACCCGAGCGTGTTCCCTTCTCCGTTTCCTGTCTCTTTCCCCGTCCATCTGTATATTTTTTGTTGTTGTCTAAGGGGAAGAAAGGGATTTTATTTATTGACCGAATTACCGCTGAGGAGCTCCGGGCGCGGCCGGCCGCGGAGCGGGCGGTTCCGGCAAAAGAGCCCGGTGCCGTTTCCCCGTCCAAAAACTAAGCAAAAAACAAAACAAAACCGAAACGCCGCACGGAAGGACGCGCTTTGTAACTTTTCCCATCGCTTTTCTACTTCGCTGCTGCGGAGATCCCCGGCCCCAACGCCGCGCACCGCCCCGCGCCGAACAAAGGACGGCCGCGCGCAGCTCCCCGCCCCGAGCGGCTCCGCGGAGCGCTGTGCGGACGCGGCACGGAGGCGGCGGGGGGACCGCGCACCCCTCGCTCCGCAGTGCGGGGCCCGTCCCGGAGCGCGGGAGCTCCCGCTGTACATATTTGATTCTTAATCCTTATTGTTCTGTAAACATGTTGCACAAATTTAGCTTTTTTTTTTTTCTCTCTTTTTTCTTTTTTCCTTTTTCTTTTTTTTTTTTTCTTTTTTAATTCCGATTTCCGTTTCGTGTGGCTGTACGACATGACGCTTTGTGTACGGAGATTTGCCATTTTCTTGTGACCCTCGGAAGATGTGATACCTGAGCTCAGCTGTGTTTCGTGTCTATATGTCAAAGTTTAGTTTTATATTGAGAATGTTAACTTATTGCTTTGTATTTGGGGAAGGAAAAAAAAAGCAAAAACAAACAAAAAAAAACCACACAAACCTTTGTACATAAGTTATAAAGTTTCTTTGAGACAGTAAAATTATGGTTTGGAAAAAGAGCTCCGCGTGGTCCATGTCTCGCTGGGCGGCCCGAAAGGGCTCCGTGCGCGCAACGTGGGCCCGACGGGTACCCGCACAGCTCCCCACGGGCAGCTCCGGGCTTCGGAACTTCGGGGCTTCGGCCTCGTGCCCACTCACAGAGCGCGCACACAGCGCGGCCCGGCCCGGCCCGGAGAACCCTTCTCCGGAGCTCCGCGCACCGGGACCGGGAGCTGCGGCCGAAGCCCGCGGCCGCGCAGTGCCCGCAGACCCGCGCCGGTCCTCGCGGAGCGCCCTGAGCGGGGCCGGGACGGCGTTCAGGGTCCGCCGGGTGACGGCCCAACGCCGAGCTTACGGCACGAGCACAGAAACGGGGAGCTCTGCCCCAGCGAGGCGGTCCCGAGCAGAGGGTCTTTTCTCACTGTTCTCTGAGAGACGCGACTCTCAAGCCGGGCCTCACTAATTCTGCCTCGTCGCTGACGAGGGGTTCGTCACATATCTAATTCGGAGATATTCGTAATGACGATATTAATTAAACTCGGAATAATCCGAAGGTGCTTCTATTGAGACAATACCTCATTACAATGATTAAGCCCCGTTTTCCAGCATTGTCCCTTTAACAGCCGTCGCCCCGCGCGCACAGTTCCGCGGATGGGGCTGCGAGTGGCGAAGCGTAATTTGGAGATCTATTTGGAGATCTATTTTTTCCCTCGTCGGGGAAAAAAAAAAAAAAAAAAAAGCGCCCCTCATTTTCAAACACTTCGGAAATAGGTTACACACAGCTTAATGATGATCAAAATGACTCTTTCTGCGAAAAAAGACCCCAAAGTGCGCGTACAGCTGCAAACCCAAGAGGGTCAGCATCATTTCACTGTATTCTCTTCTTGATTACAAGCCGAGCCCATCAAACACAACATAATTACAGTAATTTCAGGTTTATTTATTCTAATGCAGTTTCCCCATCTCTCTGGTAATTATGAGCAATTTTTTCGCCCAGGGAATCTTTTTGCATTAACAAAAGAGATAACGCACTGAAAGCCAAATTTGCTGCGCATTGAGAAAAGCGAAGGGAAAAAAAAAAAAAAAAAGCGGTAGGTGCGAGCTGCCATCCCGCAATTCGGCGCTGCAAATTGCTTGCAGGTGTATGGAGCAGCGCTGTCAATGGGAAGGGGCTTCCAAATTAGCAAATGCACAATGTTGAAGTAATGAAGACGGACTGAGCGGCACTGCCAAACAACGGATACCTCTTTCACGTCTTCCACCCGAAAAGAAAAAATAATAATAATAAAAAAAATCCCCTCGGAGCGTCCCCGCGAGGCCCCGCGAGTGCCTGCGGTGTCAATCCGACGGCCAAGCGCAGAGCGGCCCTGAAACCGCAAACGGTCGGAGAGTCCGAGCCCCGCACCCCTCCGCCGAACAGGAGGGAAAGCGGCCCCGCGCTCTCCCCTCGACTCCCGTGGGGAGCAGCTCGGCGTCCGTCACCCTCCTTCCCCCCCCCCAAACACCCGCGGCACCGCCCGGGCGCTCCGCGGCCCCGCAACCCCCGAGCGCGGCGGGGATCGCGGCCCCGAACCCGCGTCGGATCCCCGCTCGGCCCCGGCCCCTCCGCGGCGGTGTCCCCGCGCCTCGCGGCGCGCACTCACCTGGCCCCGGGGCGGCGGCGGCGGCGGCTCTCCGGGCTCCGGGCGCGGCGCTCCGCGGCAGCGACGGGCGCTGAGCGCGGGTCGGGCTGCGGGGTGCGGAGGGGAGAGCCGGGCGGTAGGGCTGCGGAGGGAGAGAAGGGGGGAAAGAGCGGCCGAGCGCGGGGATCGCGTCCTGGGAGCGCGGCGTGGGCTGAGATCCGCGGAGCGAAACGCGCTCCGGGCGCGGAGCCTTTTCGCGGCTCCGCTCTCGCAGAATATGACTGAAATTTTCTGCTATATAGCCTCTGTCTTTATAGCTGATGAAAAAAATTGCAGATTATTAGCATAAATGTTTACTCTTCATTACGCTGATGACATTGTGCACTCGAGATCTTGGTAATCTTTGGGAAAATTATGAGTAATTTTTAAAAATTTTAAAGCAGCGGCAGTTACCATGCAATTCAGGCTAATTCTGCGTAGGCTCCGAACGGATATAATTATCGAGGAGTCAAGATGTTATGCTAAAAACTATGCATTGATATTCCCATTTATTATGTACATACAACTTTGACAATGTTGATGCTTGAAATAGCAGGAAATTGTCTTGCGCAAAAATTACAGTCCATATTAGGACATGTGAAATTGCGAAGAATTATATAGTAATTGCAGGCTTTCAGATGGGAGAGCCAGAATGCTCAAACTGGTGCAAATGTGGATAAAATTACAGATCAGAGCAAAAATTAGGGAAAAAAGGGGTCTGGGATTTTTCAAGTTGGCTATAGGATTCCGGAAGTGCCTAATGCCACATGATTGCTGCGGCTTTAGGGGAGACATTCATGCCTCAAATAACTCCTTTCGCCAGAGCCGCTCTAATTGAATTTCTCGGGCTCTGCTCTTCACCGGGGCACACGAGCGCGGCGCCCACCCGCCGAGCGCCGCCGACACCCGCAGCCCCTCGACGGGGACCGACGGGAGGGGGTGGAAGGCGGTGGGGGGGCGGTGCCGGGAAGAGCCCCACGGACCTTCCATGGGCGACGCGGCGGGACCGCACGGGGCGCTTCGTCCCGTTCTCGGCGGCCCCGCTTCTCGACGCAGCCCGCCCCGTGCCCTCGGGCCGGAGGACGCGGGTGCGAGGAGCAGCGCCGGCCCATGCGGCACCCGAGCCGGGTGCCGGGGTTGCTCGGGGGGCTGCTCGATAAAGGGCGAAGTGGCGGAGCGCGGAGAGGGAGAAGGGAGGAGCGCGGGATGCCCCGCTCTCGCGGAGCGCTGCGCGGCTCCCGGCCCCCGACGGCGGCCCCGGGCGGAGCGGGCCGCCGAGAACGGGACACGCCGCCCTCCCACCGCACGCTGCGACACCGCGGGTGCTCCCCGCCACGCGGGTCCGTGTTCCGGGGGTCCCTCCGCCCGTCTCCCCGCCGCTTCCCTCCCTGCGCGCTGCCACCCGCGTCCCCGCGGGAGCGTCCCCGGGCAGCGGCCCCCTTTGTTTCTCCCGCTCTCCCCTCCCTCGCAGTCGTCCCTCTCCCCCTCCTTTCTCCCGTTCCTCCGCCCATCTGCGCCCACACCCCTAAAAGCCCTCCCCGAGGCTCCCAGCAGTGCACCTCACGGCCGGGGACGCTCCGAGAGCGGTGTGCGCCCAGCGGGCGGCGGGGCTTCGCGCTGCCGGAGCCGCGAGGAACGATTCAGAGCCGCCACGCGGGGCTGCGGGAGGAGAGCGCCGCGCGGGCGGGAGCGGGGTACGGGACGGGACCGGCGCCCCGAGCCCGCTCGTGCGGCGGCGATGGGATGTCGAGGGGGGACCGCTCCGGCCCAGGTCAGCATCGGGCCCGGACCGACGGCCCCGACCACCCCCGTCCCCAAAGAAACGGAGCGCTGGCACCGTGGAAACAATAATTTATTTAAATAATCTCTGCTTCCTGTAAAAGAAACACGAAAGAGCGCTGAAGTTTTCCATAATAAATAACCAAAATACCCTTTGTTTATTTCGTGTCACGGCTCTCAGCGCCGCGCTGGCAGCCGCGTGCCGAGGGGGCTCCGTCGGGGCCCGATCCCGCCCGGGGGCACCGGAGAGGGACTCCCGTGCACGGCCGCGGGGGGCGACGGGACGGCGAGACGATCCGGCTTTAAACCTACATATAAAAATTATGTATCTTTTTTTTAAATTTTTTAAAATCGCTTTATTTTTATTTGCTTTTTTGTTCAGTCCCCAACATCAGAATGAGGTCTTCCGCAAAGGCACCTATCGACGTTAAAAAAATAAAAAGGGGGATGACCCGCCGTCCCCTAGAAGATGCCGCCGCCGCCGCCGCCGTGGTGGTGCTGAGGGAGGGGAGCGGCGGACGGCGCGGGGCCGGGCGGATACCACGCGTAGCTGCCGAGGAAGGCCGCGGCGGGGCCGGGACTGGGGGGGCCGCCTTCCGCGCGCGAGTGCGGAGCGAAGTCCCAGGCGGGCGGCGAGGCAGGGGGCGGCGGCGAGGCGCTGCGGCGCGGGGGCGGCTCGGCGGGCAGCTCGCCGCTCTTCCACATCTTCTTGAACTTGGAGCGGCGGTTCTGGAACCAGATCTTCACCTGCGGGAGAGCGGCGTCAGCCCCGTGGCCGCCCCGTCGGGCCGAGCGGCGCCGGGCGAGCCCTACCTGTGTCTGGGTGAGGCCGAGGGAGGCGGCCAGCTCGGCGCGCTCGGGCAGCGCCAGGTACTGCGTCTTCTGGAAGCGGCGCTGCAGGGCCGCCAGCTGGAAGCTGGAGTAGATGGTGCGCGGCTTGCGGACCTTCTTGGGCTTCCCGTTGACGATCCGCACCTCGGGCTCGCACTCCTCCTTCTCTGCTCGGCGGAAGCGGCGCAGTGAGGAGCCGCGCCCGCGCCCCGCCCGCCCCGACGGCCGCCCCGCTCCCCCCGGCCCCGGGTCGCGACGTACCGGAGTCGTTGGCGGCCGGCGAGGCCCCGGCGCCGTAGGGCCCGTAGGAGCCGTACGCGACCGCGTAGCCCGGGTCGTAGCCCGGCTTGGCGGGGAAGGGGGCGGCGCCGGGCGCGTAGGGGCAGGGCACCGGCTGGCCGTAGGGCTGCCGGTTGGCGTAGTAGCTGCTGTCGGTGGCGGTGGAGACGGGCAGCGTGGGGGACTCCTGCGGCTTGTGCAGGCCGTGCTGCTGATAGCCGCCGGCCGAGAGCTGGCTGGCGTGCATGTCCGGCGCCGGGCTCGGCAGGACGCCGGTCATCCCGCGGCCCCCTCCCGCCCGGGGCACCCCGCCCAGCGCCGTCCCCACCGGGCGCGGCGCTCAGGACCGCGGCGCCATCCTGCCGCCCCCCGCGCTGCGCTGCGCCGCCGGGCCGGGCGGGCACCGCGCTCCCGCCGCCGCCAGCGGGACGGGCTGTGCGGCGCCGCGCGCCGCCGGGGCGGCATTTAACTCCGGTCACGTGGGCGCGGCGCACGTCACCTAGCAACGGCCAATGGGGCGCCCGCGCGCGCCGCATCTCCGGGGCCCGCGGGGCGCGGAACGGGAGAGACCCGGGGCTGATCCGGCCGCGCCGTCGCAGCCCGGAGCCCTGCCCTGCCCTGCCCTGCCCTGCCCTACTCTGCCCTATCGTCACGTTGCCGGCGAGCACAGACGGGGCGGTCCGGCGTCGCTGCGGCTCCCGTGGGACGCCCGCCTGCACTTGCCGATGTCTGGCGGCCCCCCCGTGCCGTGCCCCGCTCGGCAGCGGCGGTCCCGGCGCCGTTGCGCGGCCCGGCCGTCGGGGCGAGAGGCCCGGCCCCGGCCTCGGCCGCCCCCTGGCGCCGCGCGCGGCGCTTTGCTCCCTCCGCGCGCGCCCCTTCCCTCGCGCGCTCCTTCCCGCTCCCGCCGCGCGCCCCAACCGTCGCCGCTCGCGCTCCCCACACGGGGCGGGCGGCTCCCCGGGGCCGCTCCTCTACGGGACCCGGCCGCGACACGCCCGACGTGCGGAGGTGAGCGGGGCCGGGCCGGCGCCGGGTGGCCGGGAGCGGGGCGGGGGGGCCGGCGGCCGTCACGGGGGCGCGGCGGGGCGCTCGGCGAAGAAAGGCGTTTTGTGCGGCTGTGGGAGCGGGGCCGCGGCGCCGGGAGGGCCCCCCGCGCGCGCCGCTTCCCGCAGAGAAGCTCGCCCGGGGCCGCCCGTCCCCGCCTGCACCCGCGGGGGCGGCAGCTGCACGGGTGCCGCTTCTGCAGACGCCCGCGCGGCCCGGCCCGTGGAGCCGCTCTCATCGCCTCTCGGTTGCTTGAGCTCGCCGCCGTCGTTTCGGACGGTTTGGCCGCGCCGCGCTGGGCCGTCGGGCGGCAGGAGGGGGGCGGGGTGCAGCGCACGGCCCTCCGCCTCGGCGCTGCCGGGCCTGCGGGGCTGCGTGCGGGGAAGGGAAGCGTTCAAAGCTTCGGTTGCATCGAGTTTGCACCGTCGCCAGAAGCTGCCGAACACGTGGGCTGCCTTCGTTGGTGTTGGCTTCCCCGGTTTGGAAGTATCCCCACGTAGGAGGCAGCGCTGCGGGCGCCGTCAGTCAGATACACCAAACACGCTGCGCGCAACGCGCGGAAGTTCCGTCGCTCTCGAAAGTCACCTCTCCAGGTGATCCCTACGTGTTCATTATTTTTTTTTTAATTATTATTATTTTTAATTTTTCGCAGGGCAATTTTATATGGCTCACAGAAATGTCTGCAGCAACTCCTGCCTGGTATGTTCTATTTTTATTAATTATTACTGTTGAGGTTCTTTTGCTAAAGCAAACGTAATCTGAGAAAAAAAAGTGAAAATGCTTAAAGCCTGCTGTTCCCGGTCTTTAAATATTTAAGCTGGTATCAACAGGGCAAGCTGTCCTATGAGTGTTTTTTCTCATGTTTGACTTGAAGTGAACCATGCTCAGCATTAGAAAAGAGATTAGTTTCTAATTGCCTGTAATTGTGATTATCGTTTGCTCCATTGTAATCCACATCTCCCTAAACAATTTATTTCACATATTTAAGTATGAATGTGATGAATCTCAGGAAATGAGCTTGTTCCTTTTGACAGTGCTAAACCTAAGTGACTGGACAGTAGTGTCAGCTACAATGGCACATCGGTGAGTGCAGGTTTCTTTTGTGGCTGTGTGAAATGCTTTCCGGTAGATTTATAGTAGCACAATGCCTGGATAGTCCTGAGCATGTGTCCTGGTAATAGAAGGGCCGCTTACTTCTTGTGGCCTGTGGAGCTGTGGAGGGGGCTCTTGCTAGCATTGTATCTGTGAGATCTGGTGTTGCTCCCTAGTAATGGTAACGGTTAACAGGTAAAAATTCCATATCTGAGGAATTAAGCTTATCTGCTTTCGGGAAATGGCATGAGTCTTTTCAACGCCCGTCCGGAAGCTTGCTACCTGCTGTGCTTAGTTTCAGAATCCAGCGTTATCATTTTCCTCTCCAAAAACTGTTTATCGTCTCATCCATCTGTGCATCAGATTACTTTATTCCAAAAATCACAGACTCTTCTGGGAAGGATATGACCTATTGCTTGGCTCCCCAGGGTGCCAATTCTTTGTCCCTTGTTGTGAACAGCCTATACAAGCATGATAGCAGGCTTTGCACGATCCTTTCAGAGTTGTTTGTTAGGCTGTCTTGTCTAAGTGGAGATTCACTGGCTGCTCAACACCTTTCTTCAACAGAAGCCTTTGCAGACTGGAGCACAACCTGTGATTTTTAGTAGTTCATTAGCCAACTGTTATTTAGCACAGGTGATTGTTTTCTTGTGCCATGGTGGGGAGATGCACAGCCTCTATTGGGGTTGAGTGTCTGTAATCATCATATTCATGGGTCTACTTGCTTGTGCATACTGGGGGCACACTGGGAAGTCTTCTGAGTGTGGAATGTGAAGACATCGGTGCAGTGATCCCCCACGTGTGGCACACAGGTTTGGGAATAAGGCAGAGTGCTCCTGGGCAGTCCCTCCTGCCTCTTCTATGGCTGTGAAATCCTTCCTGGTGCTGAAGTGTGGTACTTCTGGCTGCTTGGACCAGCCCTCCCGTTTCCATAAATTCTTTTTCATAGCCAACTGTATCACAAGTAATAGCACTGACAAAACAGTATGCTTTTCTCTGTAAGAAGGGATTTGGTAGAATGGCTATAAAACGGTATTTTTTGTAGTGTTATACAGCAATGTTACGCAGGCTCTTCAGCCTGGAGCAGATGGATCTGAGCCCACTTTCTAGTGGATTTAAGCAAATTCAGGTTCAACTCATAGGTGAATCTTGGTTTCAGTGTTTTATGTGTGAATATTTAGATGACAAAAATCTTTAATAAGAGCATGCAGGAAAAACACTCTCAGTGTGAATCACTAAGTAGTTGCTAACACTGCTGTAGATGACAAGTGTGAGGGAAGATGAGAGGCGTGTTTTGTGGGAGCAGATGTAGGCTGCGTCGATCATTTGTGTCACTGTGAGCTCCACTTGTCACAAGTAGTAGCAAAAAGATTTTTTTGCCTTCCTTGCAACTTCTGTACATCTTTTACCTGTGCAGTCTCAGCAGAGTCTGAGCAAAGTGTTCAACGTGGAGAATAACCTAGGCTGCTTTGGTTTTACTTTAAGTGTGATTATTTTAAGTGGGCAATTTAGTGGGCAATGCTATTTGGAGCTGAGAAATGCTCTGTTGCCTTGGTATGCTTGGGTGAGTTCTGATCTGTAGTGCCAGTGGACCGTTTGAGATGTGGACTGCAGTTTCTGCTGCAGCCCATTTCTTGAGCTGATGCCGCCTCTGACTGGCAAATAACAAAGTCTGTCCCTGCTGAAAAACATGAACATCTTGCGTGGAAGAACAGAACGTTCACTGTTCTTTAAGGAAGATCTGCTCAGCAACTTACCTCCTGAGTGGATTAGACACACCTGAGGCAAGTACTGCTTTCTGTTTGGAGTGACACACTGAATGGACTCAAACTGTGGGCAAACTGTAGAGGTCCTTGTGGGAACCCTTGAGCATGTGCTCTGGGATTTGGCAGTCTGTCCCAGTTTCCATAAGCAGTTTAGTTACAGCCAGTAAATGGCTCAAAGGTGTAAACTTAAAGCATTTTTCTTTCCTGTGGTGAGAAAATATATACACACAAACCACAAAAAAATGATTGCCCTCAGAATTAAACAGATTTTCTTTTTTTGTTTGTTTTAAAAAGTGATTGAGTCAACATGGTCAGGAGTGAGTAAGTCAAGGTGGTCTTGGCTTACAGAGCCGTGGCTGTCCCATGAGCTGCCTTGGGACCCTTTCCTCAAACTGTGTAGCTGAAAGTGTGAAAAGAGAGAGGGGTTTAGTGTGTGAATTGTCCATGAAGAGCACTCAACCTCCTTTTCTGCACACACATCTATCCTGAAATTGTTTCTCCCTTGAAAGGAAGGGATGAAAGGAGCACTGTTCAGATTCACAAGTGTTCCTGGCTTTTCACTTCCTGTGGTTGCTTAGCTTACTCCATTGACAGGTGCTTTACATATGCATTTGCATTTCATCCATATTTCACCTGATAGTATTTTTCCCATTGGTAGAATGCCAGTATCTGGGAATGACATACCTATTATGAACGCTACTATAAATCTAAGTAAATGAGATTAGAATGTTGTTTTTCACTTTCATGCATGGCTTGCCATGTAACCTACCTCAAGCTCCCTAGATGTTCTTTTTTCCCCCCATTATTATTGTTGTTGTTGTTGTTTTAATTGACTTGGAAGCATATAGCCCAGAATGAGAAAGAGAACTGAAAGCATTGACTGCAGAAGTAGAGCACAGCAATCACTAATAAGTGATTAAATGGGGTGGTAGATGGGAAGTTGGATAAGAAAATACGATTGCCATCAGGCTTTCTTACCTTATTTGCATCTAATTCTCAGAACTGGTTGAAAAATCAATTAAAAATAGTAATGGGAACATGTAACTGTAAATAAAGTAAGTAGCCACACGATGTCCCCACTGTTCCATGCTATTGCGTGTGATGGGGCATGTGTAGCTTAGTACAAAGCTGACATTTAAGTAACAAGTGTTACTTTTTTGTGTTAGAGGTTTAGCATTCGTTTTTATACTCCCAGTTCTTATTGATAAATAAACCAATTAACACCTGGTCTAATGGCTGGAGAAAGTAAAAGGGGAATGCACTGGTTACCTCACTTGCTTTTTGTCTGAGTTCTTTAAATTCCAAAGACCAGAAACAAACAAGACTTGATTTTTTTGAGGCAACGTGTGTTCATTCCACGGGAATGCAGTTTGATCACTCCAATCAGAATGAGAAAGGGATTTAGAAATTTAGTAATTTTCTGCTTTTATAAAAGCTATTACAGTTTATATATTGA